GATCTGGCATTGGAGGTAGTTAAGATGGCTTAGGAAATTTACCTAGCAGTTAAGGTAATAAATTTAACTAGCACTAAATAATTCTTCATCTAGGTTAGAGGTCTGGATTATTGTTGTTGATACCATACAGTAAAAACCTGATAAGGAAAAAGACTGAATGACTTCTTTTAGAAAAATAGAGATGAAAATCTCAATTTAAAATGGAGTTTTGATTTAGGTCTAAAGTCACCCTATTCAGATATGCTAGCATCTTGATATTTTCCTAAGGTTTACTTTCACACATCTAACTTTGATAGTAAAGTTTTCTTACCCATGGGGGTGGGGCGAATTTACTCTAAAGCAATTCCTGACAAAAAGGAATCCTGCCCATGTTTTTTCTTTAACACAAAGTTGTTAATCTTTTCTTTCCTGTTCAAAGCCAGGCTCAAAAAATTTGAATTTCAAAAGATATGACTGGGTGGATGGAGAGCAGAAGCCATCTTGTGACCTGGTGTCAATAAAGGGAAGAGGGCAGGGTTTGATCCCTCATGTTAAGATTAGCCAAATGCTTGGCCTTCTATATTACTTCCTCTTCTCTTTATAAGTGTCATTGTACCTAGCTTCTTTGAGCCATTTGCATTTTCTGGAATCAAAATGGTCCTCTTACATGCATACAGACTAACTGCTCAGTATAAACCTGATAGTCAAATTTCACTGCATATTGATTATTTCTGAAAATAATAAACAGGTTTGTAGATAATTGTTTAGACTGAAGATACAGAAGAGATGAAAAGCACATGGGATTCATGATATGTTTCTGGATGTAGAGTTAATTAGAACTTGCTCACTGATGTAGAGTCAAGAATGATGATAATGATATGTTTTGAGCTTTTGCTATGTACTGGGCACATAGCAACTCACTAAATCCTCATAACATCACTCTGAATAGGCACTAGTAGGAACTCCATTTTACAAATAAAGAAACTGAGGTATAGAAAGGTAAAGGATCAAATATTTAGCAACTAAGTAAGCCTAGGTTAATAGTTAGATTTTACTTAGCGATACTACATCCCATGTCTGGGATAAATGAGGAAGAATAGTTTTGCCTGCAAAAATAAGAATCCCATTTTAGCCATGTTAAATTTAGTATATTTATTAGATACCCAATTGAACTTGTCAAGCAGACAGCTGAATATTCAGATTTGGTGTTTCGGAACCCACTGCCATTGAGTCAGATCTGACTCATAGCGACCCCTTCTTGGGTTTCCAAGGCAATATAGCTACAGAAGTAGATTGTCCAATCTTCCTTCCAGGGAGTGGCTTCTGGTTAGCAGTCAGATGCCTCAGGCATTATGCCACCAGAGGGAGAACTTAAAATCATGGATCTGAAGGATGTCACCTAGGAAGAGTGTGTAAACCAAAAAAAAAACAAAAAAACAAAAAAACCCAAACGCACTGCCATCAACTCAGATCTGACTCATAGTGACCCCTCCTTGAGTTTCTAAGAAAGTATCACTGTCAAAGTAGATTGCCCAACCTTCCTTCCAAGGAGTGGCTGGTGAGTTTGAACCTTCAATCTTCTGCTTAACAATCAAATGCTTTAGGCACTATGCCATCAGAGCTCACAGGAAGAGTGTGTGTAGTAGAGGTGTAAAGACTCCCCAGGAGAGTGTTGGGGATGTCAACATCTGTAATTTGAAGCAAGCAGAGGAGTCAATGAGAGTCCTGAGATAAAGATCACCAAAGTGAAGAAAGAGAAAGCCTTTTGTAACTCCAAGCAGGAGGGGGAGTCTCAAAGTGCGAGTGACCTTTTCCTCTGGTTGTTAGCAGAGGCACTTAAGTTGGTCATGACAAAATCGTGAGGAAAAAACAGCAGTGGACAGCTGGGTAGAGGTAGAGACTTGAACTGGCCTAAGGCTAAACATCAGGAGCTCTCAAATACCAGC